GATGTGGTCAGACTACATGGAACTTTCTACGTGGCACTGTTCACAACATGCAGATGTACGTGGTTCCTTTTTACGTGGCACTGGAGATCTACGTGGCACTGGAGTTCTACGTGGCTCCTTTCTACGTGGCACTGTCCACATCATTAATCAGTATGCATGTCCACTTTTCAGTCTTCTGGTTGATGTTGCAAGGTAATGTTCATTAGTTGCTACGTGGCAGTTCAAGATCTATAAATAACTAAGTTCCACAGCATGCAGTGTTATAATGAGTATTGATGCTGTTCCTGAGCCTAACATGAGCACTGAAAGAGATTTTGAAGATATCATTTTAATTATTTAAATTATGATTGCAATCAGTGAAAGACAACTTTTATCTTTATGTAGGCCCATCTAGAAATGGGAGATAAAGAGCCTGAAGACACAGATTGATCTACTTATAGGACTGTGAGTATTTGTACATTCACAAGATTTTATTTAGTCCATGTATTTTAGTGCACTTATTGAGAGTGCAATGAAAAAGTAGATGAAAACAAGGAAAGAAACAGGAAGGTTTCACTGTGTGTTTACCATGCCCAAGCATTTTAAGTATACAGTTAATCTACATATTAAATGAAGTAATTATTATGTTTGCAGACAAAAGGACGACAGGAAATACTTGAAAAAGGAGAAACATGTCCCATAAAGGCATGCATTCTGAAGAAGAGAGAAAGGCAGATTGCTTGCTTGTATCATGCAAAAATTTTGAATGCCTGTAAAAGAAAAATTGATGTAGTATGAATTCAAAATTATCTAATTTTATAGATACTCAAAACAAAAAAGAAAAATTTTTGAAACAGGCAGACGCAAAATGTAAGTTTAAACTGATAGATTGGCTGTTAGGTCATTGTTACATTCAACAGAAAATAATCATTAATGTGATGTCGGTCAAGTCAATGCTAACAAAATAAACAACTATTAGCCTAAAGGAAGACTCTTGAAAACTATTGTATAGTTGGTTTCAGCTGAGTTGCCCAAGCACCACCCCTTATAACTTTCTTATTACTAATGCTAGCAACCTGAAACTTAGTATAGTTGCATAACGGGTTCTTCCGAAAATCTGTAGCAATTTTTGAGTCTCTAGGTACTCTGGAAGGTTCTGAATGGGTTCTACCGCTCTAGTTCAAAAGGAGCCGCCCTGATGAATCATTACGTTTAACCTACATCACACTCGTGAATATAATTTGCATCTCATTATTAT